TTTCAGCAGCAGCTGACTTGGGGACGCTTGGGGTTCTTAAGTTGATTCTGTATGTAAGTCAGAACTGGTGGTCAGTTTCAGCAGCGGCTGAATCTGAACGCCAGTTCCGATTTACGTACAAATTCAACTTAAGAACAAACCTACAGTCCCTATCTTGTATGTAACCCGGGGACTGCCTGTAGTCTATTCCTTGATTTTAACATTCCTAGCATGCATGTGCATGCACTCTCATCTAAAAAGAGAAGTGCTGGAATATGTAGCCTAGATAGCTAGCTATATCTGCATTCTTCTAGGTTAGAATTGGCAACTTTTGGTACGCAATCCACCAGGGTAATCTGTTGGCAGGACTATGAGTGGATTACCCTGACAGTCTGTATGCCAAAGCTTGCCGACCCCTCTTCTAGGTGTACTGCTTTTAACTAGTCGTATCTGAGATTTCAGTGTAGCTACTATGTGTATCGAATAGCAGCAAATAGAATAACTCTGTGCTCCAGATATTGTTCATCTACATAGCTAATAAGCTTGTAATTTAATGCTTTCAGCTCAGTGAGGTTTAATAAGCTCTTGGTGGACTCCAGTTTACAGGGATGATGTTTTATAGTACAGTATTGCAGTTGTGAGTAAACTTTCTGATTCCATCATGTAAACTGCTATAGTCTGCTAAGGACCTCTGTGTACAGCACATGGAAAATGTATACTGTTTTTTGAAAACGTATTTGCCTATGAGTGTTTGCTTCATTGAAAATACCTGCTCTTTTATTTTCATTGCTTGTTAGTAAGAGTTAAACTTTTGTTTTATTTTTAGATCTTCTGGCTGATTCCGCCTACTCTGCAGAATCTAGAACTTTATGAAGAATGGGTTCTGTCAGGAAAGCAAAGTGATATCTTTCTGGGAGACAGGGTGGAACTATGCCAAAGAATTGAATTGAAACAAGGGTATACGTTTTTTATTCCTTCAGGTAACTGTTGTTAATTGTGGCTCTTGTTGGAATCATTACAATCATTATATTTACTAACAGTTTTTATTTGTAATATCATATCTCATATAAATCTCCTTTTCGTTCTCTTGTTGGCCATCTCAGCAGAAAGATGAGAGATTGAATGTCTTAATTTGTTAGAGATAATCCCATAAAGAGGGCTCAACAAATCATATAATCTACTTGCCCGTGGCAAGTAGATTACAAGCGAGCTCTGCCCATAAAGATATGTCTGAAACACTTTGGTGAGATAGTGTGTTGTACCTGGTCTGTGGTTAAGAGAGAACTTTGGTCTACAGCAGTGTCAGTGAGATATCTGTGCTGTTTATATCTCCTGTGTCTAGTCTATGATCTTTCCCTTGAAGGTTTTACTTGCAGTTTAGTAATCCCCAGTCAGATTCTCAGTCTCTGTTTATAGACAGAACTCAGAGATGAGACTTGATTCCTTGAGATACATTGTAGTTGGGATTCTCTCACCAGGGCAGTCTGTATGTCCACAACTGCTCTCTTTCATCAATTGTGTCTGGAAAGTGCAGCTGTAATGGTGGGTTCAGTGCCTGGCTGAGGACCCCTTGGCAGAGCAGAGGTAGTACGTGCTTGCTTTTCTGCTAATGTTGGGGAGCCTTCACTCTGTCTTATGCCAGCTGAATTGGGTTAGACTGAATTAGGCTAGTGGAGCTCTTCACATTAGAGCAGGGATGGGCAAATACTGGCCTGTGGACCGGATCTGGTCCACCATGGCTAGTCCCTGGCAGACCCCCAGCTCTGTGCTTACCTGTGCCTCTGCAGGTATTGGACAATCGCAGTTCTTGTTGGTTACGGATCATCATTTGCGCCCAACCAGCTGAATTGGGTTAGACTGAATTAGGCTAGTGGAGCTCTTCACATTAGAGCAGGGATGGGCAAATACTGGCCTGTGGACCGGATCTGGTCCACCATGGCTAGTCCCTGGCAGACCCCCAGCTCTGTGCTTACCTGTGCCTCTGCAGGTATTGGACAATCGCAGTTCTTGTTGGTTACGGATCATCATTTGCGCCCAACCTGGACTATGCCACTTCCCGCCGCTCCCACTGGCCATGAATGGCAATCTGCAGCCAATGAGAGCTGTGATTGCCTGAAACCTGCAGAAGTGCAGGTAAACATAGCAATGGCAGCCCACCAGAGACTAATCTGGACAGGCTGCCACTTTTTTACTGCCCACCCCTGCATTAGAATGGATCATGCTTTCTTCTTTTTGGCTGTATTGGGGCTGTGAACTTGCTTACGATGTTATTAGGGGGCTGCTCCCCTTGCTTGTACAAAGGCCAATCTCCTTCTCTGGCCTGCCTCTGCTCTCTCCCCCTGACTGCTGGGCCCCCCTAGGGTCAGCCCCGGCTCTTTCACACACACCTCCGGCCGGTCTCGGTCCCTGGCTGACGGGAGGGGCTGGGCCAAGGCTCTTCCCCCGCTGCTCCCTCCTCCATTGAGGGTCTGAGGTCGCCTTATCTCTGCTCCCTCTTCCCCCCCCCCAGCTCCGAGACCACCCCAGCTCTTGCTCCCTGGAAGTGGCGCCCCTTGCCTCTGGCAGCCAGGGGGAGTGATAAGTTAACTCTGTTGTCCCGTAGAAAATGCTACCTGTAGCCGATCTCACAAGGTAAATATTGGCAGCCTTTCTATTTGATGGCGCTGGAAATTGCTTTGGAAATAGAATTAGGTTTAAATCATGGAGACTGTAATAGTGCAGGGTCTTGAGAGGGCAGTTGGGGTCTTTCTTGGTAAGGAGCAAACTGTGTGTGTCCGCTGTGAAGGCTTTGCTGATTTGGTAACAGTTTGGCAAGTATTGCAGGCTAATCCAAAATGGCTGTGCTTGGGGGATAATAAAATTAAAAGAATTAGATTTTCTTTTGCAGGAGTCAGAAAGTACTATTACTATTTGAATTGAATGTGTCTGTGCTGTTTACATTGATCCTATTAGTGCCTTTATGTACTTTCCTGCTCTCCTTCCTGGACAACTTCCTACTAATAAGTTATCTTATGTGTTAGTTTAGTGATATTCAGCAGATGAAATGAAGCAAATTGTATCCTCCTACTGGGAGCATGAACAGAGACAACTGAAATATGGTGATTGTAGTTGCCGATTTCCTGGAAAAGCCAATATGGAGAAATAGTCAGAGCTCAACCATTTCAGACTCCATAGGCTCCTTTTGCGGGAAAAACTTGCCAGCTGTCTACACTGGCTGCTTGAATTTCCACAAGGACACTGACAATCTCATGCAAAATGCTTTTGCGCAAGAGGGCTAGTGTAGACAACACGTTATTGTTTTGCGCAAAAAAGCCCTGATGGCCTCTAGATTGGCATGGATGCTTTTCCGCAAAAAGTGCTTTTGTGGAAAAACATCCGTGCTAATCTAGATGCTCTTTTCCGCAAATGCTTTTAACGGAAAAACTTTTCTGTTAAAAGCATTTGCAGAAAATCATGCCAGTCTAGATGTAGCCCATACAGTTTTTGAGAGGCTATCCCAGTACACTTAGGAATATTTACCTCAGAGCACCAACCATGGACTCAACAAAGTTTTTACAGCCAAGAATGTTTGCTCTATTGTATTTGTGTTGGAAAGCTGATTGCTAAATTCCTTATTTCACTTATGCTGATGGAATGGTTGGCTAAGAAAGAGAATATTTTTAGATTTCTATTATTTCGTAAAAGGCCCTATCAAAAAGTCAGTGTCATGGTCTTGTGCAGTGGTTCTCACTGTGTGTCAGGACCCCATAGTGGGTTGGGACCCCATTTTAATGGGGTCACTGGAGCTGGCTTGGATTTGCTGGGGCCCAGTGCTAAAGCTGGGCTTTCATCCCTGAGCAGATGGGCTCTGGTTTACAGGCTCGCTGCTTCAGCTTTGGCCTTGCCTGCCCAGAGCAATGGGACTCAAGGTTTGGTCCTTTCTCCTGAGGCTGTGTTGTAATTTTTTCATTATCAGAAGAGGGTCACAGTGCAATGAAATTTGAGGACCCCGGTAGAGTGTTTTGAGCATAGTCCTGGAGACCAGGAACTTTTATGCACTTATCCTAGCTGTTGACACTTTTCCTGTGGCTTTGGTCAAATCCCCTAACTTTTTCTTGATTTCATCTCCTGTGGCCATAGTAAACATTAACTAGTTAATGTTTTTAATGCACTTTGTAAGAACTAAATATTAAATTATTAAGTATTGTGTTCCTGATGTCATACCTAGTGCCTATTTAAACAACCATATGTAATCCAGAATCGGTACTGATGAAACCCACCCAACCTGTATTTATTCATGAGACAAGTACTCTGGTTACAGATATTTTAAGAATATTCTGTTCTAAGAATTAAGGATGTAAAATCCCATTGAATCAGTTAGCCAGTTAAACGGCATTGGGCTGGAGCACCCCCACTTGCAATACTCCACCTATGCTGGGCTCGCTGAGACGGGGACTACTTTGGCCATGCTGGAGCACCCCTGCTTGTGGTGTTCCAGGCTTGGCCAACTGGCAAGCAGGGGCTACTCTGTGCCCACTGGTTAACCATAACTAGCAAGAATCACCCACATAAAGATGATACTTACCAGTTAACTGGTTAACATTCACATCCTTGATAAAAATATGTAGAATAAACACATGTGTCTTGCAGTTTCCTAATAAGTCCCACTCTTGAATGGATTGTGGATGGACAAAATTCTGCAGTTAAGGGTTGTGCTGCCAACTCCTGGAGTTTAACCTTATAGATAAGCAGAGTATACATGAGGAATACAACAGCCTTGATAGACCATGTGAGGAGAGTCTGTATCAGGCCACGTATGGGTTTAGAGATAACAAACACCTGAGTTGCACCTGGAAACAGGCCAGGAGCTAGTACAGTACTGTGTTATGTGTTTGTTTTGGCCTGCTCCACTTGAGAAGCAGGAGAATGATTTTGCACTAGCTGAATCTACCAAGTGGGCTTTGAGGGTAGCTCTAAAAGCATGTTATGTATCCCAGCCTAAAGATGGCAGAGGCATGGCAGACTAGTAAGGTGTGCATCAGAGATTCCTGGATATTGGAAGGTCCTTTTTTCCTGTGATGATAAGATAACCAGCAATGGATCCCATAAAACCCTGAGACTGTAAATGACATAGTAACTCTTACTGGAGGGAGCAGATAGAATCCTCATCAGTGTTTCAAGATCTTTTTCTGTAGCCATCATTATCACTTTAATATTTTCTGTATTTGTTTTGAGACGGATAGCTATCATGCAGAACTGTAACTCAGCAAAGCACAGAAAGACTGCAAGATCATAGCTATATAATGAGGAACTGAGCGAAGTATCATCAACATATTGGTGTCACTGTAGTCAAGACAAGTCTCAGCTTCCCTTTGCAGACTCATATACCCATATAGGGTATGTCTGCACTGCAGTTGAGAGGTGTGCATCCCAGTGCAGGTAGATATACACATGCTAGCTTTGCTCAAGTTTGCACCTAGAAAAGGATTCCAGCTTCAACAGAACAGATGATGGATTGGGCTAGTCACTTAAATATTTATCCAAGGGTCATGTGGGATTGTACTGTTCATTTTAGGCTCTCGCTGTAGCGGAGCTAACATGTAAATCTATTCATGCTGAGAATGGAGAGAGGTAAATGGTGTTCCCCAAGTATCTGTCCTGGGACTAATCCTATCCGTCTTATTTATAAATGATCTGGAGAAAGGGGTAAACAGTGAGGTGGCAAAATTTGCTGAGGATACTGAACTGCTCAAGACAGCTACGATCAAAGAAGACTGTGAAGAGCTTCAGAAAGATTTCACCAAACTAAGTGACTGGGCAACTAAATGGCAAATGAAATTTAATGTTGATTAAATGTAAAATAGTTCACTTTGGAAAAAATAATCCCAACTATACATACAATATGATGGGGTCACATTTTCAAAAAGCGAACTCCGTTTGTGTGTCTTTATGTATGCACAGATAGGAGTGCATCAAATATGTATGTATTTGTGTATGCATG